CACTCATTTTTAGTTTCATCTTCAGACTTGGAGCCGTTGGTTTTGTAAGTTTTTACTGAGTTCCTCAAGAGAGTCTATGTATCTCTTCATTGCTCATTGTAGGAAAGCTAGCAACGCATTTTCTTCCAAAGGGACTGTAGTTTTTTAATTTGTCGTTTGTGGTCAAAACTCTGATTTACATATGAACGTCCATCCGACACATCTTCTTTATGGCTTCCTCTCCGGATGATAGTGAAGAAGTTTGGCAGATTAAATATTTGAAAACAATTTCCGAAAGAACCGGCGTGAAAAAGTTACAATTCATCGAAAACTCAATTGGGTCTGATTTTCTCTCTAGTCCATATACTGTTTAAGTTCGAATCAAATTCAGCTCAAGAGATCTTAAAAATATATCGAATTTGATACAAAATTCATACTGGGAAATAAGTATTGAAAATCGATATTTCGTGATTTAAAATATCGACGCATTCATTCATTATTTTCTGAAAAAATATGGCTATTTTGATATATCGATATTTTTTACCCAAGTCTATTTAATTTTCATTGATAATTTTCTGAAAGCATGTTACTTTTAGGAGCCCCACCTGTGCTAAAACTTATTTCCTGTTTGACAAATGCATTTTACTCTGCTATAAATTAGCTTAAAGATTAATTATCTACTATTAAACAACATGGCTTATTTACAACAACACTCGTAGAATTATATTCATATTAGTATTGTCATTGCAGTTTATTTACAACTAAAACTGGGTTTAATACTGAAGGGATAAATAACTAAAGAATTTTATCAGAAAATGAATCACGTACACGGAAATAAAAAATGCAAAAAAAAACAATATTTAATTACATGAAATAAATTAACTCTTTTTTGTGTCCTCTTTATGTATACATCTATAGCAATTTATGTGACGGCACTTTTCCGCTAATAAACGACAAAGGGTCGCACTGTCATTCAGCTTCGATGCCAAATAGAAAAAGGAAAAGTGAAAAACTGTATGAAAATTGAACATAAATAACTATAAATTGGAATTATTCGGTATTAACCAGTTTAATGGCAGACAAACTGGAAGCAACTAGCATGAAAATGTTTGAAAATTCTTGAAAATGCTTACGTAGTAGATAAATATGTTTGTATATACATGTAAATACTATCATAAATATATTTATATTATTACATATGTATGTAACTATTTGTGTATGTATGTGTGTATGATTGTTTGCTTTGATTTTTCGCATGCAAATTTATCTGATGACTATCTTGGCGTGAACAAAAGCGTCAAATTGCTCGATATCCGGTCATTACATTGTAAATAAATACGGCACGAGCCTATTGTGTCTGTTTTCATTCATGTTTTATTTTTGTTGGTGTTTTTTACTAATTAATGGCAATTAAAAGCTGATGGAATTGAAATTTTGTTTTCTTTTGAAACACGATTTCAGTGTAAAACAGAATTTGCAACAAAGGTTTTTAAGAAAGAATAACAAAAAAAAAGTTTTTTAATTGTTTTTGGAAGCGAGATTTTTGTGTGTCTTTTTTTTGCTATAATTTTTGATGAACTAAATATTTCCAGTTTACAGTGAATTTGTTTGCTCATCTTTAAATTGGCTTAAAAACAAAATATTCTTATTTTTATTTAAATTTTTGTATTCACCTATCGCCACCCAACCAAACGACGTTTTGTTGACATCTTAATTGTTGAAAAATTTCTACTCCTCCAATTGCAGTCAACTTGATAATTTAATTGTGTGCGAGTTCGCAAAGCGTATAGTCGTGTTACATTTCACTTTTCTTCAGCTTATGTACATACGCAGCTACGTAGTTTATTTCTAAACTTTATCCTTAACTGCATCTACATACATACATATACATATATATGCATACCTAGTGACATTTATAAATGGTATTAAAAAAAAATAGTTGCAAAACTTTGACAGGGATAATCGTTCGTGCCGCTGGTTGTTGGTTGTGGATGGTTTTTGTGTGTCTTTGCTTTGAGCAATAAATGAAATAAAAGTTTCTAGAGGCAGATATGCTTGGCATAAATACTATGTATGTGTGTATATAGGGAAAGCTCAACAACGTTTGCAGCAAAAAGTTTAATGTGAACATTTTTGGGTAAGCCTGTGTGCTAATAAGTGGATTTAAGTTTTAGAAAGTGTGTCTTGTGCGAATTTTAAGCGAGCAAGGATCAAATAAATAGCTTCACTGACTTTGGTGGCATTCAGTTGTATTGAGGATATTGTGAAAGTAGGTGAGAGAAAAAATTAAAATAAATAAATTTTTCCTCGTTTCCTTAAAAAATTTAATTAAGTATTCTTACNTTCACTGACTTTGGTGGCATTCAGTTGTATTGAGGATATTGTGAAAGTAGCTGAGAGAAAAAATTAAAATAAATAAATTTTTCCTCGTTTCCTTAAAAAATTTAATTAAGTATTCTTACTTTTTTTTTATGAGTTTTCTTTGATGTTTAAATTTTAAATTTGCTCAGATTTGTTGAAAATTCAATACAACAATTGATTCTTCTTCATTCTGTTTGAAGTGCTTTTCATCAGCCACTTTGCAGCCAACTTAAAATTCAACCAACGTCCAAATCACCTTTAAATTAAAACTTTTCCGTACTCCTTTTTCGTCTTATATCCACTTATGATCATGTTACGACCTGTCACACCTGAAACAATCGATAAGTGTCTGTGACAAGTATCATTGTCGGCGAATTGAAAGTACGAGAACTTCTATTATTCGTGTAAATAAAATTTCAAACAAACACTTACTGATGTGTGGAAGGACAGCCTTGCAGAAAATTTTCTATGGCTACCTTTTTTANTTGTCGGCGAATTGAAAGTACGAGAACTTCTATTATTCGTGTAAATAAAATTTCAAACAAAAACTTACTGATGTGTGGAAGGACAGCCTTGCAGAAAATTTTCTATGGCTACCTTTTTTGTGTCAGAAATATTGCTGAGGGTCGCCCGCTATTAGAGCAGGTTAGAGTCCTTCTGAACGGCAAGGGCCACCGCTAACCATTCGGTCCGGGCGGCTACTCTTGGGGAAATCAGGCTTATTTTTTAATTCTTTCACAGTTTTTTTTTTCATAAAGCTTAACAGCTTTCAACTTGTGTTTTTGGTTTATTCATTAGGACAATGTGCAGGAAGTGTGTAAAAGTGCTAATAGAATAAAATAACTAATTTATTCTTATTTTGGTTTCCGTCTAATTTTCATTTCAATAAAGTTGTTGATAACGTCATCGTGGTATATTAGATATTAGCCTCAAAATGTAATTTTTGATGGCCAGTAAAGCCAAAAAGTTCAGCCTGTATTCCTTCGTGGACGTCCGAAGTCGGTTTATTATCAGCTTCATAGAAATGTACTTTCTTAATGCAACTTCTACATTCGGAAAGCGACGGGGGTTTATATTTATGGAAAGAAAAAAACTTTACTCTAGGTAACACCTCAATGTAATCACAATAACCGCCGTTTGCCTCATTACTCCTAGGGGGCCCGGACCACGGAAAGAGTCTAGGGGCCCATTGATCCTAAATCCGGCGCTGGGAAGTCGTGCAGACTACAGTGTCTATTCACGGCAGGTACGGATACGTAGCGGGAATTAGTAGCATACTAGACAAAGATACTGATGAGTTAACAACAGTGGCCATAACCGTCTCACTTTCAACGATTTAAATATTTTGACAACTGCTATTAAATGAGACTTTTGTGGCCAAAGATTGGAACGTAAGACGATCAATGGAACTTCTCATGCTGGGGGCCTCTTATGTACAATGAAGAAACCAGTACTTTGGTGGAGAAAAGTGGTTTATCACTTTTTAACAGTGATACAGCACAGTTTAACAAACGGCGATAGCTCAGATTTGCGTGTTATGACAACAGGTTCAGAAAAATAAATGTGTCAATTAAGAAAATATCACATACATATTTCTTACTAAAGAGAATACATACATATTATTATCATTACAATTTTAAATGAAACCATATTGTAAATGCCTATTTAGTTATAAAACTAGAGATCCCAAGGTACTATTAGGTTCCCATTGCTGTCTGGAGGAGACCTGTATACCTAAACTAATGGAAAGCAGACCTTCAAATTGGAAAGAAATGGGGGCTGACATTTTGGTGCTGACCTTCAAAAAATCCATATCAAAGGTGACTCATTTATCAAGCAGAGCCTCGTGCATTAAAAATTTATAGCAGATAATGACATAGAAGAGGCACATCTTCGAAATACAACTGCATTAAGTCGGAGAGCCACGCCGCTTGACTAGCATTGAAGTTCGCATAATTTAATCAGTACTCTAAATTTGGAGCCAAGTATACAAACTACTCGGCTAGATAGGATGCATTGGGGAGATGATGGCAATAAACAGGCAGTCCGCCTCGCGAAACATGGAGCCAAGACAGTATTCCATGGTCTTAAGACCTGTTGAGTATCCAGGGCAGGAGAAAGCTAGGCCACTAAAGAGACTTTAAAATAACTCCTTAATTTAGGCAGAGGGAACATCGGAGTATTCAATAGGCCATTACTCAATTCGCTATTACTCCAGTAAAGGTTGCACGAATTGTGAAATCAAAATGGCAAAGTTGCTAATTGCTTATCACCAGGATGACAATCCACTTAAATCAACTAACCAACCCTAGTAAAATAAACCTTTCCATCTCGAAGGTCTGTCGTTTCTGTGAGCTGGAAGAAAAAACCCCGGAATATATTTCGTGTGAATTTTTTTGTCGCTAGATAAAGGGCCGATTACGTGTGCATGTGGCGTCATACTTTTTCTATTCGAGATTTGACTATGCTAGTGGTCGCGGTGTTTATGCTCCATTATAACAATCAAAGCAATTTTGGCTTAAGTAGTGTGAATTAAATTCTCCCCTAAAACTTCGACTTTACTTGCTTACAATCAATTATATTTAATTATAAGAATTGATCGCTGGACTTACACAACTTTGGTATATAATATACATCGCTAACCTTTTATTTCTCTCCCTTTTTCTATTCACAGACATGTTACTATTCTCTCTGACGGATCAAAAATTATGCTGTCCTAAACGCCAGGTATGAATTAAATTATATACGCATATGGAGAACGATTGGAAGTATGTAATAAATAGAGCTCGGATTTTAACGATAAAATATAAGCCTAAAAATATGTAGCATTATAGTTATAAGCAAAATATTATACAGGGTAATTCAATAAGACACAGATTTTTTTCAATAAAAAAACACAATAAATTTTTTAATTTCGTCATGTTTTTCAGTCTGAGGCATTTATGTATACATATATGAAACACAACGTCCGTTAAATGCCTACAACGACTCCTCTGGCAACACATTGGGCCTTATGCATAAAAACTAAGCATTTGCTTTTTCTTAAAATGTCAGACCCTTTACTTAAATTTGTTTGAATAAATCGAGTAAAAGGCCTTAAACTTTAGGAAAAACAAATTGCTTATGGTGATTTCTTTTCTTCCAAAAAATGTTGCCCTTTCCCGGTGCAAAATGCAATTACAGCATGCAATTAATAATATTGTCGTTTTAAGCAATGATCTGATTTGCAGGGCAACCACCACCCCTGACGAAGTGTCAAAGGGCAAGGAATATGCATTTTTTGCCTTAAAAGCGTGTAACATTTTAAGAAAAGAACACAACATTTTCTCACCGTGTGCCTTTTTTTTAGAACCGAATAAAAATGAAATCACCATTAGTTTTTATTCATAAGGCCCATTATGATTAGTTCAGGCTGTATATAATTTATAACGCCTATGATTTTGTACTTCAGCTCTGGGAACGCCTCGGACTTATTGGTATAGACCCTTCTTTTCACGTAGCCCCAGAGAGAGAGAAGTTCAGGGGTGTCAAATCGGGAGATCTCTGCGGCCATTTGACCTCCTTTTTTTGTGTGAGATAATGCTTTTTGGGGACTTTGCTCGCAATGAGTCCCTTTGTTTTATGCGCCGTCTTGAATGTGGAACCCTCCTGTTGAAATCACAAATTGTCTAAGTAGTTGTCATCTAATTCAGGCCACGATAACGTCCGTTCACCGTTCACCGTTCATCGTAACAGCGGTACCGGCATCATTTCCGACCAAGTACGGTTCGATGACTCCAACAGCTCAAAAACCACACCAAACAGCGACTCGTTGTGGGTACATGGTTTTTTTTCTTGAATGACATGTGACAACAGATTGAGGTCGTCGCTGCCTGGTCACCACTTTTTGGCGCGCCAGCAATATTTCCGGTCGAGCGACCTGACGAACACGCGCAGTTTCTTCGACCTAGTTTCTTCGAATCTCTGCACTGATTGTTAACTCGGTTGAGCGGTTATAATGGTCGAAAAAATCACGCAATTCTTGAGGTGCACTTCTTGCTTTTTCATTATATGTTTGAATCACTTTTACGCGTTGTTCAACTGAGTATTGCTCCATGACTAAGTTTGCGCAAAGCCGGTAGTACCAATTGCCTGAAAGAAATATTTAAAAATTCACATTAACTTATCCCAAATAATTGCTGTCAAAGATCTGCATCCTCATTGAATCACTTTAAAATAGGTAGCATACTTTTAGGAAGAGTAAAAAATGTTTAGCTTTTGCGCTTCAGTATTCAAATTTGATATTGTGCATTTTCTATAACTCTGCTTTAATTACAACAAGTTTTTATAATCGAACAAAAATTTGGACTGGTACGGTCGAGACAAACGGTAAACTGGTTGAATTCGAAAAAATGTATGCATCCTGAAATAAGAGTATACTATTATTGCCAATTTATAATAATTTTAAAAAATTTATTATTTTCCTAATTTTCTCCTGCCTCTAGATAACAAACTCAAGCATTGCAAAAACAGCTGCAACAACAAAACCAACAACTAGCTCACTCTTCGTAAGCTTATAACAAGAAGTTTTCGTTTTCGTGCAATTTTAAGAAAATCAGCAGCAACAGCAACAACAACAGCAGCAGTAGTCGCAGCGACAACAACAAAAAATCGCTAAACTTTCTTAAAATCATCGAAAAACATAAAAAAATATAACAAGGAGACTAGCAGCCATAAGAACAACTGCTAAAAGCCATAAAAACAAATTAAAAAGGCGCCATTTCTCAGCTACAAAAATCGTTTAAAGCACCAACACGCTTCTAAGAAAATAACGAATCCAAAAATTATAAAGAATTTAAATTTATAAATAAGCTTTTTCACACACACACCGGAAGATTATTATTAAATTGTAGTTGCTTTAAGTTTTTTTTTCATTTTCGCAGTCATCACTCCAGAGCTTAGTTCGTGCGGCATTGCTCGATTTTAGGCGTAGTTAGTTTAGCTGAAACTAAACTAGCTGCCAAGTGAAGAAGTACTGTAACCAAGAGAAAAGAAAAAAAAAAATAGTTGAACTTTCAGCTTGAAAGCTATCGCGAACGCCGCTTTGAATTTCTTCTAAATTTCATATTTTCGTAATGAAAATGGCAAACATGAAATTTAAGCGCAAATATGGCGGTTTAAATATTTGAAAAATACTAATTGTATATTTTTCGAATATTTTATTTCGTAGCATTTTATAAGTTTATAAATAATACTAATACAAATTCAGTCCCTTGTCTAACTAACTTGTCTGTGTCTGTCTGTTTGTATCCTCCCTCCGTGTAAATCGCGCCTCCCTAAAATTAGTAATATAACATACAACATACATACTCATGCTATACACACGTACTTATACATTCGAAATAAATATTTAATTACCGTTAAGTGTTACAGCATTACTAAGTGATTTTCATAAATTTATACATAAAAAGAATTTGTAATTCAACAGCAAGAAATTTAATTTTTTGCAGCATTTAATTCTAGCAGACACTTAAAGGCATTAGCAATTTTTTTTTAGAAATTTTGTATATTTCCAATTTTTTCCCACACTAGTAGAAGCATACTCTTGCGTAGGTTTCTTTAAAATTGTAAGCATAAACAAGTAGTTTCTTTTCCAAATTTGGTTTTTTTTTATTAATTTTAATATTGATGATTAAAAAATATTTAAATTAATCACTCAACAAAAAACTATAACTCAAAAGTAAATCAATTGCATAAAACGTACTTAAAAAAACTTGCAACATGGATGCATTATCGCCCGATTTGCTATGGATGGTCATACTCGGCTTTCTGATTGCATTCGTATTGGCTTTTGGTATTGGCGCAAATGATGTGGCAAACTCTTTTGGCACGAGTGTTGGTTCGGGTGTGTTGACCATACGGCAGGCCTGTGTTTTGGCGACAATATGTGAAATTTCGGGTGCAGTTTTGATTGGTGAGTTCGCTTTATTAATGACAAATTACTGGTAAGGACTTTTAAAATAGTTTACGCCCAGAAGTATGCTATATTTCCAACTAAAAAAAAAAATGGTTGATTAACTTTTCCGAATCATCTGAAGTAAAAAGCATACTTTTAGGCAAACTGACATTTTTTAACCAATCTCACCTTGACTTTTATCTCCTAATTGAAATAAGCTTTACTCTAATCAATTTCATTAATGTCACTCGCTTCTCTTCACTTTTATAGGCTACAAAGTCTCGGACACCATGCGCAAAGGCATTCTAGAGGTTGGCCTTTACGAAGGCTCCGAGGATGAACTTATGTTGGGCTGTGTCGCTGCTCTGGCTAGTAGCGCCATCTGGTTGTTGGTTGCCACATTCCTCAAGTTACCCATTTCGGGTACACACAGCATCGTTGGTTCGACCATTGGTTTTTCGTTGGTTGCGCGTGGTACACAAGGTCTGAAATGGTCTACATTGGGCACGATTGTGGGTTCGTGGTTTATCTCGCCAGTTATGAGCGGTTTGGTGAGCATCTTGCTTTTCTTGGCTATTCGAAAATTTATTTTGCGCGCGAGCGATCCGCTGAAAGCGGGATTTCGGTCACTACCAATTTTCTACGGTGTAACATTCTTCATTAACGTCATTAGTGTGGTGTTGGATGGACCGAAGTGTGAGTAAAAGGAAATTTTTTGTCAAATATAATCAGCCTCATCATGAGTTTGATTTTCCCCGAACCGGTTCACTTTTCACTTCTGGTTTCCATGTATTTACTATGGGCGGATGACAAATTTTCGGGTGAATTTTTTTTCGGATGCAACTCAGGGTAAGGCAGAATATATTTTATAATTCCGATAGAAAACCCCCAATTTTGTTTGGTGAGACACCCTAATGTGCATATGTATTTTGAAAAATTCATGTTCAGCCTTATCATGAGTTTCATTTTCCCCGAACCGGTTAAATTTTCACTTATGGTTTCCATGTATTTCTATAGGCGGAATAAAAATTTTCGGATGAAATTCAGGATAATGCAGATGGTGAAGTTTTTCCCATTCCGAATCTTTTTTTAAAAAATAAAAAAAATAAATAAAATTTATATATTTATTTTTTGGGTTTTACTTTTTTCTGCTTAAATTAGGCTGCGTTTGTGTTTTTTAATTGCATAAGTTAGTGTAACTTTTTGCTTTTTCTGAAATTTTTTATTTTTATTTTCATATTATTAAAATTTTTTTACTGCTTCATTTTGCGAAATGTTTATCTTTTCCGAATATACTTTTTTCCAATGTTTTTATTTATTTTTTATTTTATCGTAGTATTTGTTTATGATGATGGCTTTGGCGACCTTTTCACTTCGTAATTAGTTAGTTATGCGGGTTTGTGGTAAATTTTTTTTGGAATTTTAATTAAAGCACAGGTTTTTAATTTTCTCCAATATATTTCGGTTACAACGAAACGTCTTCAGGACAACTATTGACAACAAAAGCAATTACCTGTGTTTTAATTAAAAATTTAAAAAAAAAAAAATTTATCTCGAGCCGGCATAACTAACAAATTTAATACTTTATTGTTTCGTGTTTTTACTTCAATATTTTATTTATATTTTGGGTTCCATTTTTTAGTTTGCTTAAATTCGGTACATTCCGCTTTTTCTGAATTTTTGTTAAATTTTATTGCATAATTTTTTTATATTAAAATTAATTAATTTTAGTTTAATTTTGCGGAATTTTTACCGTTTCCGAATTATTCTTTTTTTTTAAATTTGCTTCGAATATATATTTTTCTTAGTTTGGCTTTAGTATTTTACAATTTTTTAATATAAAATTTTTTCTTTTTATTATTTTACCGAAACGTTTTTATGCATTTTCATTTAAAGCATGAAATTGTGAAATCTTTGCCTTTTCCGAATCTTTTTTTATATTTGCTTCGAATACTTATTTTTAATTTTTTCTATTAGTGTTTTACTATTGTTATACACATTTTTGTATTCTTACTTCATTTTTTTATCTATATTTTGGTTTTTATTTTTTAGCTTGCTTAAATTTGGTACATTCCGCTTTTTTTTTTAATTTTCAGAAATTTTTGTAACTTTGCTTTTTCTGATGTTTTTTTATTTTAGACTTAATTTTGCGAAATTGTTGCCGTTTCCGAATTCTCGTCTTAATTTTCTTCGAATACTTTCTTTCCCAAGTTTTGCTTTTACAATTTTTTACTATATAAGTTTTTATTTCTTATACAATTTTTTCTAATCTAATTTCATTTTATTTAAAATTTTTTTTATTTAAGGCATAATTTTGCGAAATGTGTGCCTTTTCCGAATGTTTTCCAGTTTTTTTCGAATGTTTTTTTAAATTTTTTGTTAGTCCTTTATTATTTATTTACACATTTTTGTATTTGTGCTTAATTTTTTATTTATATTTTGGGTTTTCTTAGTTTGCTTAATTCGGTACTTTCCGCTAATTTTCAGAAGTTTATGCAACTTTTTTGCCTTTTCTGAAATTTGTTTTAATGTTATTTAATATTTTTTTATTTTTACTTTATTTTATATTTAATTTTGCGATATTCTTTGCCGTTTCCGAATTCTTTTTTTAATTTGCTTCAAACATTTTTTTTTCAAGTTTTGCTATTAGTATTTTAAAATTTTTTATTATATAATTTTTTAATTTTTTTTCTGTTTTTTCTTCTATTTTCATTTTATTTATATTTTTTATTTAAGGCGCAATTTTGCGAAATATTTGTCTTTTCCGGTTATATTTTTTAACTTTTTTCGAATACGTTTTTTAATTTTTTTCTGTTAGTGTTTTACTAGTTTTTACTTTTTATTTATGCACATATTTTTGTTTTTTACTTAAAGTTTGAATTTATATTTCAGGTTCTATTGTTTAGTTTGCTTAAATTCTGTACTTTCCGCTTTTTTTAATTTTCGGACATTTAAATAAGCAACTTTTTCAGATTTTTTGTTTGTATTATATATTTTTTTACTTTAGGCTTGCTTTTGCAAAAATTTCGCCTCTTTTTTAATTTCTTTCGAATTTTTTTCTAGTTTTTGATCTTAAAAATCCACTATTTTTTATTATATATATTTTTTTTTCTTTTGGTACATTTTGTTTTGTTTTCTAGTTTGCTTGAATTTGGTACTTCCCGTTTGTTGTTTTTTACTTTTCCGAAATTTTTAAAAGGTTAGGAAAGATAAATGATAAAGCATATAAGGTCATATTTATTTTATGAAATTTGTATATTTCAATTATATTTTATAGTTGTTTATTTTTAAGGCTTAATTTTTTACCTTTACATTGATTTAAAGATAAACATATATTTTTACCTAACTTCATTTGTCCAAATTTATTTATTTAAAATTTTCGCCACTCAAAAAAGTAAATAAAATAACAATAATGGCTTTTGTATATATGTATGCAATTACACTGTTTTAAATTTAATATATTCTCCGTCTTTTTGCAGTGCTTTATATGGATAACATACCCACCTGGATTGCTATTTGTTCGAGCATTGCACTCGGCTTAATAGTTGCACTTCTCACCCAACTTATTGTTGTACCAATACAAAAACGTAAAATCGCAAAACAGTTACGTGCTCAAAGTCCCGTTAAATTCAATTTCGAGGACTCAGTTGGTGAGTAAAATACACAGTTTTCTGTTTTAAAAAAAAAAAAAAATACTTACCTCTCTGTTGTCCTTCTTACTCATTTTCTAACTACAGAATCCTCACCGTCCGGTAGCCCTAAGAAAAACCGCCGCCCATTATCACTCGTTAGCGATGGAAAACAATTGCCTGCAATTGCCGAAATCACCGAACTCGTCTCATTGACCGACAATTCACCGAAGACCTTCAAATTGGCACCATATGGACTAAATAAAAATGGGCATGTTACCACCCCAAATAACGGTTATACTGGCGATGGTTATAAGATTAATCCGGAAATTATAAAGAAAGCTGAGGATTTGCTGGGCAAAGCCAGTTTGGATAATACGGATTTGACTATAACGAGCTTAAATTTCATTGATGAGCAATATCAGAATGGTAATGGTATAGGTGCATTTCAGTACGGCAATAAAAACAACAATACGACTGCATTGTTATCGAATGGTCGTGACAAAGGTAGTCAGCTGCAGGATTACTTTGAGAAGGGCGTAAAGTCGCCATTATTGGATGCGAAGAGGTGAGAAAAATGTTGTCACACCTAGACTTTAAATATAACGCCCTTTTCGTGATAATAGTTTTTAAAACCATTTCTAAAATGTTTTTGCTAATGAATTAATTTTCTTTGCCTTTCAGCATTGAGCATTCCCACGAGCTTCCACAACAATTCCAACAGCTCGATAGCACGCAGTCGCCAAAGAGTGCTGCAAATAATAATATTACACTAATTGCCATGGACACAACAACAAATACCACCAAGCCCGCAATCATTCCCGAGCCTACACCCTCTTCCAACGCAATACCCGCTGCCGGAGACGCAAACAAATCAATTACTGACGTTGTAGTCACAAAAGCCACAACAACAACTGCGGAGTCAACGGCAGCATCCACAACTGCCAAGAAGGATTTGAAAGTGGTTGAGAGTGGCAGCAGCTTGGAAATGATGATTTCCTCTATATTGTCGCCGAATTCGAGTAAGGTTCCGTTGATTGAGAGCAAGGAGCTAATACACGATTTTAAGCAGTCAGATGGTGCACCAACGCACAATGACGAGGAATCGGAGGAGGTGTCGATGCTGTTTTCATTTTTACAAATTCTAACAGCAACATTTGGCAGCTTCGCGCATGGCGGTAATGATGTAAGGTAGGTGGCAGAAGGACGAAAGGGAAGAAAATCAATTGGCATTGGAAAAATTGTTACTATCTCAACCAATAGAATGTCAAAGAAATTTATCTGAAATTTGTACTTCCTATCAGAAAGTTACTATTTCATCAGAAAATATCCTCTTTACAAAATTTTTTCTCTTCTAGCAACGCTATTGGACCTCTCATTGCTTTGTATATGATTTACAGAGAAGGTTCTGTGATGCAGAAGGCCGAAAGTCCTATTTATATTTTGATCTACGGAGGTATTGGCATCTCAGTGGGTCTATGGCTGTGGGGACGACGGGTCATCGAGACAATCGGCAATGATTTGACAAAGATCACCTCATCAACGTAAGTTTGTTTTAACATTTTATTCAATGACAAAGAAACCTAGTTCGGATAGTCGTTCAATCGTTATTGTCACGCTCAACTAACGGTAGGCCCAGGGAACGTGCTGTTTCGACGGAGTCAGACCAAAGGAAAAGGAGTGTTAGCTGAGTTGGGTTGACAGGACATTTGAATAAATAGTTGATGTCGTCGGGGGAGCCTTCACATGTCGGAAATACGTTGGGGTCTAGTCTGGACAAGTAGCAGTCTAGCCTGCTACAATATCCAGACCGCAATTTGGACAGTGTCACGCGGGCCTATCTCGGCAATTGAAGCTCATTTTCGTTCATAGGTAGTGGAGTAGATGGCATTCACCGGACGTCAGATTGTGTAAGGTGGTGATAGTTTCCCTGTGTATGCCGTGGATTGTCAGTATGTTTTTGGACCTCGTCCTTATGTTCGTAGAGATAGATGCATTCTGACGTGCCTAGGTGGAGGCTCCGTCTCAAGCAAGTGAATGCTCGGGTGCTCATGTCTGTGCTTATATTTCGTCAGACACAGACTTTGACCTTCAGAAACTTAATTAAATTCAGTCCGCTTATGCTTCCGAAATGTCCTTATGCTCTTAAACAGTGTTGGGAGAGTATTACTTCGCTTGCTGGCTCAAAAGTCATTTCGTTTCTAGGAATGCCATGGACTCCGGCCCTCATATCAGCACAAAACTATGCCTCCATGTTGAAGCCATAGCATTCTATCTACATTGCTTTAGAAGGCAGGAAGTATTAGTCCACAGAGCCAAGAGTCTGTAACACAGTTATGTGACTAAAAGTATTCTGCAAGCCTCGTATATAGTAAAACTTCAAGTTTAGGTATTTATTTTTGAAGCTCATGATTTTCCTCGCTCGTTCTGTGCCTAAAAAGAGGTTTTTCATTAGCCTGAAAAACTATTAATCTAACTGAAAGTTTCATAGATATAACGTCTTTGGAACAACGAATGGGGGCGGCCATTGGTCAATTGTCCAGCGACCCGCTAGCATTTCGACGAGAAGCCGATCGTTTGGTTTTAAGAGCTTAAGCAAACTCCGTATTCTGCATTCATAGAGCAGTGGCCAACGCCTTACCCCAGATGAGACGCAAGCAGCTGTCAACAATGCTAAAACATCCAAGGCGTTAGGCCCAGATAGAATATCCGTACAGGTGCTGTAAAAGCTAGGACCTGCGGGAGTCGAGTACATTACAGCCGCTTTCAACTTGTCACTGTCTTCCCCCTTCATCCCCGAGATGTGTAAAATGGATAGGATCATTGCCCTTCTTAACCGAGGGAAGAAGGCGGAAGCAGGAGAATCGCACAGACCTTCTTATCTACAGTCGCAAAAACCATGGAAGCACTACTCTCCCAGGTCTGACGAAACATCTCACGCTAGCCGAACACCAACAGGGATTCTCGAAAATGCAGAGCCCTACGACAACATTGAAAGCCATCACCATACAGATTAGCGAGGCTCTGAACCAACGTCGATCTTGTGATAGTACAGTTCTAGTCGTCTTCTACAGTATTTAACACGGTGAGCCACGCGACTCTCTGCCAAGACGCCCTGAACTCGTCGCTTCCAGCTTGGACGAAGGGGTGGGTAAGCATTAAACAGCGGGTCCACCAAGGTGGCGTACTCTCCCCGACACTGTTTAATCTCACAGCATGGCAAAGAGAGAGCCAGATCTGCCGAGGGAGACCAGAGCGAGACAACTCCGGTCTGGCTGGTGGCACTTACTCAAAAGCTGTCTCTCTCGGCCAAACTCAGAAACGGCCCTGCATGCGGGCAAGGTCCACACAACACCCAACATCTCTTCGCATGCACCTCCAACCCTATGACTTTGACACAAGAAGCACTGTGGATTGCGTTCATCGACGCCGCCCGCTTCCTCGGCAGAGTCCGAGAATAATGACAGTGCCTCATGAAGAATTTCCAGGGGGGTTGAGCACTGCTGCTACAACAAAAACAACAACATGCACCAAGGTTTTCTTTTCGGGCCATAAGTCTGGTAACACTCAAATGAAAAAGGAGTATTTCTGACTCTATTGTTGATTAACCTATATAATTTAAATTTGGACTCCATATTCTCTACAGGGAGTCTTCTCTAAGTATAGAATATAAGCTCGGGTTGCTCGTTAGTCATTGTGGAGCTTCTAAAGATTTTTAAAATTACAATAACTTATTTCTTACTTTCTCTTTCAGCGGCTTCACCATCGAAGTTGGCGCCGCCATCACAGTACTTCTGGCCAGTAAAATTGGGTTACCCATTTCGACGACACATTGCAAAGTGGGATCGGTGGTGTTTGTGGGACACGTAAGTGGCAAAGGGCATAAGCCAGCTGCTAATGATGCGACTGCAAAGTCAGGGCTCTCCAAAGAAGCTTCAATGGAAGGTGGTGTCGTAACATCATCAACTGCTACAACACCAACAACAAATGTGAATGAAATTTGCAGTAAAATGGGGGCGACGGTGTCATCCTCGACCAGCGCGAATGCTATAGCCAATGGCAGCGGTGGAGTGGAAGTGATCGCCGGTGGTGATGGAGGTGTTACTGGGGTAGTTGGCAATGCTGCGAACGCTGCTGTTGGTGCTGTCGATTGGCATTTGTTTCGAAATATTGCCTATGCTTGGATTGTCACCGTGCCGGTAACGGCGCTGCTCTCAGCTGGTATTATGTTTTTGATGTGCAGCCTAGTTTTGGCCAAATAGAAGCGGAGCGTAGCAGTTGGTGGAAAAATGAAGCGATTTATTGCAAAGTAAAAAAATTACAAAAAAAAAGTGAATTAAAGGAAGAGAAGCGAAAGCAGTTACAATTATTAAGTATTCAACAAACTTACTAACGTAAGCGTATTTACATACATATGTACACTTTAAACGATATTGTACTTATTATGGTAAAGTAATTTATTGTTATGATTAAAGAAAAAGAAACGATTACAAAAAAATCAAAAATTATGTGAAAATTTATTCAAAAATTGGCAGCGAATGTTGGAAAGATTTTGTAAACAAGTTTGAGTAAAGGAATATAGATACGTTTTGAATGTTTGTATTTTTGCATAATGCGTATTGAGTTGTAAGCGCCAGAGTCGGACTGCCAGCCAGTGTTAATACATTAATTCCATACAAAAAAAAAAAAAAAACTTAAAATATTAGTAATAACAAGAAGAAAATGTGAACACTGAAACATTGATATTAAATTCAATTCGACATTTAATTAAACTAAAAAGTAACGAATGGAAAAGAAGGCTAAAAGACAACAAATTATGGCATGACATCAATATTTTATGCGTTGAATGTTTTGAGCTGATTGCCATTTGAACGTGCGGGTTTGATAAAAAAAATGTTTTTAAGTGTGTTATCAGAATTAAAAAATATTGATAATAATAATAAAAAAAACATCTAACAATAATTTTCATAATAAAACAATAAGAATGGGCCGTTTTTTAATGCGCGAGTCAGAAAAAATATCAACAAAAATGATATTGGAAAAACTAGAAAATGTTAAACTAAAAAGCAATAGTTTTTTATTTATTTTTATTTTTTTTTTATTTTAGAACGGCAATATATCCGATTACACGTAAAAGTAGTATCAGAAAATAAAGTAAACACAATTTATTTAAACAAACGTTCAAAATAGGGCCGTTTTTTTCTAAAACGACGGGTTGAAAAATCAAATAACATTTTGGCTAAAGTTTTTTGAATTTATTTAGATTTTTTTAAATAAAGACCCACATTAAATGTCCTATACTCTGCATCGAAAATAATAGTTTAAAATTAGCAAATAATTTTTTACTAAATGTACATGTTTTAAAATTTTTAGTAAACAAATGTTTGGCAGCGAATTTATGATTTATATACAAAATAATTTATTTTTCCAGAAAAAAATTCAAAAAGTTTTTACAATTAAAGAACAAAATTAATTCGTTTCTTTATCAAACTCTATGAACACCTACTGAATGAATTTACTGTTTCTAAAACAAAATTGAGTGAAACAAAAATTTATAAATAAATAAATTGTACTAAGCGAAGAAAACATTTTTTCGAGCATAATTCAGCAAATGTCACACACACACAAACACTTGATTAACACATACACTAGTTAAAATAAAATTTAAGTTCTTTTGTTATTAAAAGAAAATTAAATTCAAATTTCATAAAATAGTAAAAGCTGAAGAAAAATAACTATTTGCCTAATATCTCTGGCAGCGCTACAATAATAGTAGTCTTAAATGTTTTTAGTTAAACTATTCAAATACAAAAAGTACTATTGGGAGTAATAAGTTCAAAAAATTACTTTTTAGACACACAAAAATATTTAGCGTACTACAAGTACAATAATTACAATGATTCGTAGTTGAAAAAACGTAGTTAAAATTTAGTAAAAACAATCTACATAACTACAAAAAGTAGATGCCAAAAAGAAAATAAAGGAGGAACTGTTTGCAACTTTTTCAGTAGAACTTAGTCTGAAAATTAGAAATTTTATTTATATCAATATGAGTTTTAAAGTTTTTTTTAAATTTCAGACTAAAAAATTCCAAAATAAAATTAGTACTAAAAATGTATAAGTCAAAATTTTAATATCAAAATTTTTGGTCTTGAAATTCAGTACTAAAAACTTAGTTCGAAAAAGTACTTAAAGTCTAGCACAAAAGAAAGTACACAAGTTGTATTATTAAAAAATTGATTATGAATAAATTTAGGACTAGGAATGGAGGGTGCTAAAATTTTACGCTGACACCGAACTGCGAATAGTTTTGGCGTCGATTTTTCGTGAAAGAAATACTAACCGAGCATCGACATTTCCTGCCAAGAGGCGATCACTACTAGCAAAATCTTTCTTAACTTTGAAATGTTGTCAAGGAGGAGGACTTAATTTGTATTTATTTTTTGATTTTTTATTTTGTACAACTACTAGAAATGCTTGGTGCTACAGTATTCAGTGGTGTGACGTTTCTATTAAATTTAGCACTAATTCAGCTAGCAGTTGTCAATTATTTTCTGTGGTTGCTACAATTCTTTATTGAAATTTTTTAGCATTCTTTAATAAAAACTATTTGCTTAGATTTTTTTCTCCGAAAATAAATTAAGCATTAAATTTCTTTAAAAATCAACTGATATACATTTTTTTAATTAGTTCTTCGGTTAGCAAAATCTGGTTGCAAAAATTCATTGCTAGTTTTTTAATTAATTGTTTGAAAATTTTTTTAAGCAACAGGATTTTTGTTTTGTATAATGCCTCAGATCTTTTATGACAAAATGGAAATGTAAAATTCCTCATACTTGCTTGAACCATTTTTTTTACTAAAATTAAACGAAAAATAAATCAAAAAAATTGTGTGCTAAGTATAAATATGCAGTAAAAATTACAAAAACACAAAATTATTAGTTCCAAAAAAGATATTTTTTATTAAAATTTGTTAATAAAATATAATTATCAAAATTTTCGCTCTTACTGCTCAAGTACTCTAACAAAAAAGGTGAAAAAAGTTGCAATACAGCACCTGAAAATAAATTTTATAATCAAAAACAACAAAGATCCCAATAAAAAAACGACAAAAAGCAAAAACTAATTTACTTTAATATCAGAAATAATGCATACTGCGCTACTAACTAAAAAGAAAAACAAATAACAAACTGAAGCCCAATGTAGAACAAAGTGATGTCAATACTACTAGTAGCAAAAACAACAAAAATAAATCAAATAAGATAACAAACAATTTTATTGTATTTGTATGTGTGACTAGAAGCTAAATAAACAATTACTGAAAACTTTTAAACAAACAGTGAACAAAGAAAAAAACACTAAGTAGCTAGTTAAGTTAATATTTATGCCGTGACAAGTATAGATATTTCCTATGAATGCAGTATATCTATTAAAACCTTTTTGTTCAATAAATTTTTGTAAGAGTTCATTGTCGAAGTCGGGCAATGCAATGCACACGATCCAAAATATTTTATTATTTCTTTTAAAATACTAATTTTGATATTATAGCGAAGTTAACAATATTGTTTAAATGAACTATATATAATACTATTGGTGAACAATAACGGTGCTTTTAAAAATGAGTTTTTTCTTAAAAAAAAANATAAAGGATATTAAAACAAATAATTGATATAAAAGAATTAAACAAAAAAATAAAAATAGAAGAAAAAATAAAGCAAACCAAAAATTGTCATAAGTTCCTCGCAAAACTGGTTACTCAGCTTTTTTACTTATTTTGTAGATGGATGATTTATAAATGTATTGACTGAAGAGTTATTTGTGTAGGGAAATTGTAGCGTAATTCAAGGTACTACAGGCTTTGGCAGACTTAGTCATGGAATGAAAATGGTTGTTCTGCAAGAAGTGCATTTCGAGCATTGCGTGATTTTTTTCGGTCACCTAAACGTAAATGTTAACAAGCAAAACTGCCCATTTTTAGGGGTACTGAAAATCCACATGTCATTCAAGAAAAAACTGCAAACACAATGAGTTACTGTTTGGTGTGCTTTTTGGGCTAGCGGAATCATCGGGCTGTACTTCTTCGAAAATAATGCTAGTAACGCTGTTACTGACATGTTAACAAACCTGTTATGGCCTGAATTAGATGGCATGGACTTGGACAATGTGTAGTTACAATAGGACCTTGCCATTTGTCACACAGCACTTGAAACAATGGCCCTATTGTGAACGAAGCTTTCAGACGAATTATCTTAAGAAACAGCGGTGTTAAACTACCGCCGAGATCTTGCGATTTGACACCATGGGACAAGGCGAATTTATACAAGGTAGTATCGGTTGAGCAAAAACAAAAATTACAACAACAAATTATACGCAAAATGACGGCAAGAAGTACCCCAAAGTACAACAAACACATCACTGACATTCAGAAGGATCGCGGCGAATTCAGTAACACCACCGTGTATAAATTCGCTTTGCCATGGGACTTTTTTCTCTGGGTCTATGCGAAAAGCTGAACCACCCTGTACAATGCGCTTAGTGCCTAATCCTGCCCTACGTCGAATTTGCGTATTTCCGTTTGGCATTCTAGTCTCCGAATTGTTATTAGAACTTTCGAACATTCCGAAAACTCGATTTATCATGTATTTCGAATTACATCGAAACATGAATCTGTAGGTATTTTTTCTTCGAATAAATATCAACACAGGACGTTTCTAAAAATTTTCACATTTAAGTACTGCGAATAGTAATGTAGTAGTACAAAAAATTATAAATACTTTTTCAGTGATTTTTGGTGGAAACTACATTTTTTTCAATTTTCAAAATTTTGATTTTTTTTTCGCAAATGGCTTATTTTCCAACGATATATAATTTCTAATGGTCGTGGCAAAAGGACTACAAGTTTTTCATAATAGTCCGCCTTGCATTTTTGTCGGCAATAACACAAGTTTAAGGAAAAGACAAAATTGTCCAACTTGCCACATATTTATATGCATCCTAATGTAAAATTTTCCGCATTTCGATGCATTTCTGAACACACTCATAGGATAGGACACCACCCTGTGACACTCCTTGTTTAATTCGCCTTGGTATAGAGGTTTGATCCTGAAAGGCTACTGGCGCCTGCCGACCACGCAGATAATGGTTTCAAGTGCTTCTGACAAGTCCACCACTACTAGGAGCGTTCCCTCACAACGGCGATTTCGGTTGAGGCCAAAAGTTAAGGGTAGTAGTGGCCAAAGCCATGCTGATGCTTCGCTGGCGTCAGGTAGCAACAGGACCTCAAGCAACTTCACTACTGGGGTAAAGAGAGTTACCGGGTGGTAATATTCCGCTTTGTTGGCTGGTTTCCTCGGCTTTAGTAGTGGGACCTCCATTCCACCGCACTTGATTTTTTCAGCATCAGCATGCATATTCCATCAGGACCAATTGCTTTGCAGGCTTTCGCCTTCCCTGGACTCCACCGATGGCGAGAGCCTTCTGATCACTCGTTACTTGCCTTTTTAAGGTCCTATCAGTCGGTTCATCAGTTATTCACACAGTATCGCCGTGGTGAATGGCTCAAACTATAGAGTTTTCTTTCTTCTAACGGACCTTCCGCCAGCTGAAAATATTTTTGCATCGAGTTTATATAGTTTGTAAACTAGTGTAAATTGGAATAGCCGAAAGCAACAGGCAGCACATGAATTTTTTCCTAGCTAAAAGCTCTTGCTTATAACGAGTAGTTTGTGCTGGAAAAGCTTTTGAATTTGCTAATTTGTAAAAGCGCAGAGAAAGGTGGCTAGCAATCAGTTGGATTGTACAAATGTTGGCTACTCAAATATTGCACAAAGGTGAAACAAACTAATTACGGACAAATTGGGATCAAATTTCGGAAAAATGTAATGACCTTCACTTGGGGAAATATACACAATTGTTCATAAGTAGTTATG